GAGATGGGGAAGCCCAGGCCCCAGGAGCACCCAGCACGGTGCCTCCCCGGGGAGAGCTTCATTCTGCACGGCTGTCACCCTCCCTGGGTCGCCCCGAGGCACTCGCGCAGCTCTGCCTGTCCACACTGCCCTCTGCTTCCATTTCCCGCTTTGTCTGTATCCGCCTCCCCTGAGCTTTCATAGCCAGGACAGAGTCTATGCTTGAACTCCTGGCATTTACCAGGCAGGAACTACTTGTGGGCACAGCTGGACTCCTGGCCCCTCCGCTGGAAGCCACATGGCCCTCAGTCCCTCTCTCTCCATCCGTACCTTTGCACACTGTGGTCCCTCGGCCTGGAATGTTCTTAGCATTATCTGTCCAGTAACTCAGTGTTAGGCCGCCAGATTTAGCAAATAAAAATATCGGAATCCGGGATAAATGTATTTTTAGCATAGGTATGTTCCAGATATTGCATGGGAGGAGCTTATGGTAAAATATTATTTGCTGTGGATGTGAAATGTAAATGAAAAGCAACAACCCAGCTCCTCAAGGAGTGTCCCCTGAATGGCCCCTCCAGGGAAACCCAGATCCATCAATCAATCTGCCTGCTCCCCGCATCACCACCTCCCCACTCGTCACTGTCAGTCTCGCTGAGACTCTGATCTTTCCGAGGCAGGGCTTTAGCTTCTGTGCATTTTTTAAAAAGTATTTTTATTTATTGGAAGGAGAGACAGAGACTGACAGTGAGAAATCTTATATCTACTGGTTCACTCCGCAAATGCCCACAACAGCCAGGTTTGGGTCAGGCCGAAGCTGGGAGCCAGGAACTCCATCCACATCTCCCACGTGGGTGGCAGGGACCCAAGTACGTGAGCCGTCATCTGCTGCCTCCCAGGGTGCACGGTAGCAGGAAGGTAGACCCGGAAGTGCGTCTTCCCAACCAGGCACTCTGATATGGGATGCAGGTGTCTCACGTGGCATGTTGGCTCCTCTGTCAAAACACCTGCCCCTGTTTAGTTTAAAAGGCTTAACAAAGATCAAGCAATAATAAATCAGGGTAATGAACATGTACGGACTGAGTACCCACAGTTAAGGCCCGGTCCTATTCCTCTGTAGCCCCAGGCCTAACAGGATCTGGTACTCAAAGAAGACAAGATTGGTTGGACTCGGCCACGAGGGGTTCTCTAGTCCCCTCCTGTTGGCAGGGCTGTCCTACTGCCGTCTGGATTGGGACACGGGTGACAGGAGGCCAAGCTGAAGGCACGCTGGCACGGAAGGAAAGGCCATGACCCCAGCATTCTGCCCAGATCTGAAAGATAAGTTGGAAATCCCCAGGGCATCATAACGAGCTCCAGCAGCGCCAAGCCCAATCTGTGCTGCCTTCTAAATGGACAACACCGTCAGACTCACATTCACATCATGTGACTCGTCTACCAAAATAGGAACCACAAACGAGTGAAGTTCCTCCACGATGCAAAGCAGTATTCTCACTAAGCAGAGTGGCCCCAGCACAGCCTTCACAATCCGGCACTAAGAAGTGTAGAACCAACCACTCACATGATCCCCGCCAACTGTGCCCTGTGGAAAAGAACAAGGGGCTTACGATTAATGAGAGGAAGGTGGCCTTCTGGGGAGGAAGTCAAAGGCCTCCCTGGGGAGGTGATAATGGAGTTGAGAGCTGAAGGCTGAGAAAGGGACCAGGTGCAGGGGGAGAGGGGTGGGCGGACAACGCTGTCCTAGACAGAAAGAACATCTGCACCAAGGCAGGATGGAACACAGTACAGCGAGCCAGAACCTAGGGAGGGCTGATGTGGCTGGAGACCACCCCCACCGAGCCGAGTGTGGCTGACACAGTGACGCGTGGGGAGAAAGACAGGCAAGGGTGAGAGTCCTTGGGCCCTGCTGGTTAATTTCTTTTCTTCTTTTTACTGCAGTAAATACACATAAAATCCATCACCTTAACCATTTCAAGGGCAGACGTCAGCATTGCTAAATACATTCACGATGTTGTTCTGCCATCACCGTTACTGTGACAACTGCTTTTACGTGTCAACTTGATTGGGCCATGGTACGCCCAGATAGCTGGTTAGGCAGCGCTTCTGGAGATCAGCACCCGATGACTGGTGGGATGAGTAAGGCAGACGGCCTCCTCCAATCCTGATGATCCGGGGAGAGCAGGACAACAGGAGGAAGGCTGAATGAACTTTTGGGACAGCGTGAGCTCAAATGGGCAGGCTCTCAGCTGCCCGTGCTGACTCCTGGCTCTCAGGCCTTGAGGCTCGGGCTGGCAATGGTTTCTGGAGTGCCCTAATTCAGCTCTCCCAGGCTGTGCTGAGCAAACGTGGCTTTGCTCCCTGCCTCACCTGGTCACCAGCCCCTACGAATGCTCCCAGCTGTGGCCTGGCCCTGCTTCAATATCACTGCCAGAAGACCTTCAGGACACGAGTGGGTTTTTTTTCCCACTTCATCTGAAAGGCACACACACACACAGGCTCTTCTATCCAGTCATTCTCTCCCCAAATGCCTGCAACAGCCAGGGCTGGGCCAGGCCAAAGCCAGGAGCTCAGAACTCCATGTGGGTCTCCCACGTGGGTGGCAGGGGCCCCAGCCCTTGAGCCATCAATCGGCTACCTTTCCCTGGTGCACACAACAGGAAACTTGACAGGAAGGTGAGGAGATGGGACTTGAACCCAGGCACTACCGTACGGCAGGTGGGTCTCCCAGCGTCTTCACCACTGCACCAGAGGAACTGCCCCAGCTGGAACCTTGTGACGGACACCCCTGCCTTGTCCAGCTCCTCATTGTCACTCACGGAGCCCTTGTGTTGTCCAGGTGCCCGCCAGTCCCCACTTAGCCATGCACCTGAGGGAAATGCAGTCCCCACGCCAGGCTCTGTGAGGACCCTCACTTCCCCAGCAGGGACAGCTCAGAAACGGGGAAGTCAGGCATGGGGGGAGCGTGCTGAGAAGTGTCCTTGCTTTTGCAAAGAGCCACAGAAAGTCACCCTCGCTGTGACCAGACATGAAGGAGGAAGCTCCAAGAGGCCCGACTGTTTCTGGGGGCCAACTGTGAGCAGGACAAGCTGAGGCTGCCACAGGCGCTGGGACCAGCGGGGCAGAGAAACGGAAAGACCTTGGGCCCGGCTGGCACTGCTGAACGCGTAATTAACCAAGCCTGCAGCCTGCCTTCCCCTGAACTTCTGGTTTTGTGGGGCGATAAATCATGTTGGCTTAAGCTGGTCTGAATACAGCATTGGTCATTTGCATCAGCTGGTACTCTGATAGGCAGAAGGCTGCCTGGGAAAGCAGCAGAAGATGGCCCAAGTGCTTGGGCCCCTGCACCACGTGGGAGACCCGGAAGAAGCTCCAGGCTCCTGGCTTTGGCCTGACTCAGCCCTGGCCATTGCAGCCATCTGCGGAGTGAACCAGTGGATGGAAGATTTCTCTCCCTCTGCAGCTCTGCCTTTCAAATAAATAATAATAATAAAGTAGCCTCTCCTGGACAGCTGGAATCCGCCCAGGTTACAGGCAACCGGCCAGACTGCTGAATACAACTGCAAATCTTGCCACAGAGGCGAGGTTTCCCAGAGTACATTCCTGGTGGGCTCAGACCAGCTGACGCCACTCCTGAAGAAACCACCCCCTCTGAAAGGGCCCTCAACGATTTTTCTGTTCGCAGTCTTTGCTTGGTTCCCCACTATTATCTGGCAATATGCCAGGTGCTAAGGTTGACTCAAGAATGAGCCTTCCTGCTTGCCTTGTATTCCTTTGAGTAAGAGAGATGGTAGGTAAACAAGTACAAATGCACTGTATGGGTTCATCCAGTAATAAGTCCTATGATGAAAAACGATGTGAAGGAAATGCTAGACTCCCAAGGTGGCTGTAAAAATCTAACTTTCTAGCAAGGATGGCCTCTAAATGACGTTGACAAAGAATGTGTTCAGGGAAAGTCCTGCTCTCCTACTCACCAGAGTCAGCTCCCTGCAGCCATGACAGTACTAAAAGACTCTGTCCCACTACCTGGTTGGTTCATGGGATCAGCGGTAGACAGATAAATCTCCCGAGAGTTTGGACATGGAATACGATGACTTCGCTGGCAACGCAAGAGAGAGGACTCAGTGCTATGGCTGGGGTGGCTGTTGGCCAAGTGCAGAGATGAACAGAGTGCTGGCCTACAGAGTAAGGACAGTGGAGCAGACACAGAGGCTGACGTCGGGAACTATGTGGTCTCAGGGGGATGGAAAGCGGCTGGTATGGGTCCCAGTGGGGTCCCACGTACAGATTCCAGTCTCTCACAAGGTTCCCCTGGAAAGCTTGCCCTTTGGATCTGTGAGAATAATTGTTCCACTAAATTCCTTTCATGGTTTCAGGTAGCCTGCATGTGCTTCTATGCCTTGCAACCAAGATAACAAAAAAATTTATTTTCAAAAAATTTAAAAATTTTTCAAAGTTACAGAGAAAGGGAAAGACACAAGTATCTCCCATCTGCTGGTTTACTCCCCAGATGGCTGCAATGGCCAGCACTGGGCCAGGCCAAAGCCAGGAGTTTCCTCTGGGTCTCTCACGTGGATGGCAGGGACCCAAACACCTGGGCCATCTTCTGCTGCTTTTCCCAGGCCATTAGCAGGGAGCTGGAACGGAAGTGGAGCAACCAGGACTCGAACTTGCACCTATGTTTTTTTAAAAAAATATACCCAAACATAAAATCTTCCACCTGAACCATTTTTCAGCGATCAGTTCCAAGGTGCCAAACGCATTACAGGTGCTGAGCACCCACCACCCCCATCCAGCTCCAGGACTCTTTCCACCCTGTAATACTGAAACTCTGCACCCATTACACAGTAAGCAGTCCTGCCCCTGGACCTTGGAAACCACCATTCTGTTTCCTGTATCTATAGCTGTGACTATTCTAAGTAATGCATATAAATAGAATCACACAGTGTTTGTCCTTTTGTCACCAACTTTTCACTTCGCATAAAGTCCCCAAGGTTCATTCATGTTGTGGCATGCATCAGAATCAATTTGACACTTAAAAAAAATTTATTTAATTTGAAGTGGGGAAGAGACACACACACACCCATCTGCTAGTTCAATCTCCAAGTGCCCACAATAGCTGGGGTTGGGCCAGGCCCAGGCCAAGAGCATGGAACTCAGTCTGGGTCTCCTGGTTCTTGTGGACATTTGGGGAGTGAACCAGGGGATGGAAGACCTTTATCTTTCTGCCTCTGCCTCTCTCTGTAACTCTTTCAAATAAATAAAATACATCTTTACATATTTTTTCATATTCCCTGATTGCAAACCGAAAGCAAACATTCTTCATGAGCGTCTTCAAAGCAGGGGCTCGGATGCCACTGAGTAGTTAGAGTTGAGCTTGGACTCAGATTGTCACAGGCCTGAATAGAAATCCTGGCCACGGCCGGCGCCGCGGCTCAATAGGCTAATCCTCCGCCTAGTGGCGCCAGCACACCGGGTTCTAGTCCCGGTCGGGGTGCCGGATTCTGTCCCGGTTGCCCCTCTTCCAGGCCAGCTCTCTGCTGTGGCCAGGGAGTGCAGTGGAGGATGGCCCAAGTCTTTGGGCCCTGCACCCAATGGGAGACCAGGAAAAGCACCTGGCTCCTGCCATCGGATCAGCGTGGTACGCCGGCCGCGGCGGCCATTGGAAGGTGAACCAACGGCAAAGGAAGACCTTTCTCTCTGTCTCCTGTCTCTCTCTCACTGTCCACTCTGCCTGTAAAAAAAAAAAAAAAAAAAAAAAAAAAAAAATCCTGGCCTGGCTTCATTTAAAACAAAAACAAACCCTGTCTTTTTCATGGGTTTCTGAGATCCGAAGAGAGGGCGGCCTGAAGCATTTATGGCGCTGAACCCTACGATCGGCTGAGGCTCAGGGGAGTGCAAACTCCCAAGTTCTGTTGCTCCTTGTTCTCCCTGTAGCCAACGCCAGCTCTTCCTGCCATTGCCCTTTTTTCTGGAAAAAGCCCCCCCGTTTCCCTTGGGCGTCACTTCTCCTCCACCGATACAATCCGAGGCCACCTCTTCCTGGCTGAGGCCTGGCCCTCCCTGCCCTTAGAATCACGATCTTCAGCTGATTCATCCGGAGCCGAAGGGGCACACGCAGAGAAATAACAAGGAAAACTGGAGTCCACGTGTTCCCACTGAGAGCTCAGACGGGCCCTTCGTCCTGCTGCGGGCTTCCTGGCTGTTTCAAGACCTGGTTCTTCCGGTTTTCCAGTCTTAGGCTTTCTTGAACTTTCCAATCAACTTCATGCACGGTTGGTTTCTATTGTTTGCAGTCACAGAACTTTACCAGTGTCCTTGTAAAGCAAAGACTAGGACTCTAAGACTCAACCAACTTTTAATTCCTGCTCCCTTACTCCCGGGGCAAGGACAGTCTGGTAGCTACTGATCGCTGGGTAGCAAATTACTCCAAATCCACCGTTCACTATCTCACAATCCGTGTGTCTGAAGCTGTGGAGCAGCTTCCTCGCGTGGTGCTGGCTCAGGGTCTCAGGGAGGTCGTGGTAGAGATGTCAGCCGGGACCACAGTGCTCTGAAGGCCTGGCGGGGCCTGGGAGATGGCTCCCAAGATGCTGCACTCACACGGCTGTTGACAAGAGGCCCCATCCCTTGTCACTGGGGCCTCTACACGGGACTCCTCAAGTGTCTTCAGGACCCCCAAGGTAAGAGATCCAAGAGAACAAGATGGAAGCCATGAGGTAGTTTATGAACCAGGCTCAGGAATCGAGTTGTATCATCTTCCCAGGAGCCTACTGGTCACACAAGCCGGCTCTGCTCCCGTGGGAGGGAACCACACGCTGCGAATCCTCGGAGGCAGGGACCACCCGAGAGGCCGGCTGGCACCCAGGGAAAGCCCCGCAGCCCTACAGGGTCTCGGCGGCCAGCCACCATCCTCCTCTCACTTTGGGTGTCCCCATTTGTCCAAGACCCCAAGAACGCTTCACTCCAGAGGCCTGCAGCCAAAACTTACAAGTGATGGCAGGAGGAAGGGGTGGATAGGAAGACTCAAAACAGGCAGGGTGAAGGTCTCTAGCCCATGGACATCTGGAGGACTGGAAAAGAGGAACAGATGACCTTTGGGCAATGAAGCCCCAGGCCACCCCAAGGTCCAAGGACAAAGCATAGCAGGAGACGGGAGAGCTTATCCTGGGTAAATGAGCAAGCTTCTCCCGTTACACCCCCGAAGAGTCTGATGTCCAGGTCAGCCCTGCTTGGGTCAACTGTCCTTCACTGCGCCCAGTCCAAACTGGCCTCGGATTGGGAATCCAGGAGTCCAGTTGAGTTGTGATGGACTGAACTGTGTCCTCCCTTCCCCCCCAGCCCAATCCTTATGTTAAAGCCCCAACCACCAGCACCACAGAGTGTGACCATCAAGATAAGAGGAGGCTGCTTGTGGGCCCTGATCTAATCTAATCTGGCATCCTTGTAAGAGACTGGGAGACACACAGAGCAATCAGGAACGTACGCACGTAAGAGAACCGAGGAGGACAGCCATCCTCAACCCTACAGGGGAGGTCTCAGGAGAAGCCAGCCCTGCCCACACTGCCGTCTTGCACTTCCAGCGTCCAGACTGTGAGAAAGGTGAATGGGTGTTGTTTAAACCCCCTACTTCCCAGGTATTTTGTTACAGCAGCCGGGCCCTCTGGACAGTTCAGCATGCTGACATTTATGGGCCCCAACTCCTAACCTCCACTGTGTACTGTGGCTTCAAATCCCAGCCACAGAGACTTCCTTTCCAGAGCCAAGGTGGTGAGATGAGCCGGGCTTCCCCTGGCCAAATGCCACGGAGTCAGAAACACACTTGCGTGCAGCCAGAGATCCTGCTTCTACTCCTGGCTCCTTCTACCTGGTCCCTGGAGGGCCCCGGCAGCCTCGCTCCTCCACAGGCCACACCCACTGTCACGCACAGCTCCTCCTAGCTGGACAGCACGCTCTGGATTCGTTCTCGGACTTCCTCTGGTCCCAAGGACATCATCATCTCGGCTACAGGGGGTCCTTGCTGAGAACAGAAACAACAAGATCTCCATATAGCCTCAGACTGCCCACGGAACGCGGGTCAGCATCAGCATGCAGGAGTGCGCCCGGGTCAGCCCAGCCTGCTGCCTGCAGCCCGGGAGCAGACTGTGCACTGCATTGGTCTCTAATTGCCCTGGATGAGGACGGGCCCTGCAGGGAGCTACCGTGTGCATGTGCTCACCGTACACTCCACAAAAGCGGGGAGCAGGTGTGCTCTGTGCAGCTGCTGTTCCTAAAGCACCCAGCTGACCGACTGCAGGACGGGGAGTGATCATGTTTCCCTCACCCTCATCTCCCCGGACTGAGCCCAGGGCCTGCCAGTAAGTGGCAGCTGCAAGGACGAGTAAGGGGCCCAGGGAACCAGGCAGCCCCTCTGTCCGCCTCACCGGCCGTCCGCTGAGGGCCACCCGTAGGAGCTTCATCACGTTACTGTACTTGGTGCCTTCCAGACCTTCTGACAGCTTCTTCAGTTCTCCACTCAGCACATCCTGAGTTAAGCTTGTACCGGATCTTTCCAAAAGCCTAGAAGAAGTGCAAACTGTAAGGGTCCTGCAGGGACCAATGGAAAGCAGGTGGGAGAGGGGCTGGCACCACTGTGCCGTAGCAGGTAAAGCCACTGCCTGCGGTGCTGGCATCCCACATGGACGCCGGTTCAGGTCCTGGATGCTCTACTTCCCATCCAGCTCTCTGCTCATGGCCTGGGAAAGCAGAAGATGACCCAAGTGCTTGGGCCCCTGCATCCACATGGGAGACCAGGAAGAAGCTCTTGGCTCCTGGCTTCGGCTTGGCCCAGCTCTGGCCATTGCAGCCATTTGGGGAGTGAACCAGCAGATGGAAGACCTTTCTCAATCTCTCCCTGTCTGTAACTCTGCCTTTCAAATAAAATAAATCTTTTTAAAAAGCAAGCAAGCAAGCAAGCAAGCAGGTGTGAAAACTTGACTTCCAATCAGTTACAGCATGAGCTGGATGGAGAGAGATCTAACCCCTCCAAACCCGCCCTGACCGCCAAACATCCAAGCTGGAGAACAAAAGACCACCACCGTGGGACCAAATACAGCGATAACCCAAACAAGTGACCATAAGATAGGGAACGAGCAGGGTACCATATGAAGATTAACTAATTACTACCTCTGCATCATGTAAGCTCCATGCCTCAATTTTCTCATCTATAAAGTGGGGATAATAACAGTATCTGTACAGCACAGGGGGAGTTAGAACTTGTAAAGCACTAAGTACAGGACCTGAACACAAGGGAAGTTGCCAGAACTGTCAGATCTTACATTTCAATGTAAAGTTTGAAAAATTAGCTAAGATTCATTGCATCTAAGAGCTGAGAGACTCCGTAGGAACGGGTTAGACAGAGAATGGAAGAATGGGTAACGCCGGGAAGTTATCTGGAACGCAGCTTCGAGCCCGCTGCGGGCAGACTCTTTGAGGAGGGTGCACACGAGAGCAGGAAGGAGGGAGCCAGGAATTCCAGCTTCCAGCTCGCTGCACATCATCCTCCCCCCCCCCCCCCCCCCCAGTCTGAGCACACGGGGCTCTAAAATCCCAGGACCAGCAACCAAGCCCCACTTGCCCGGCAGTCGGCCGAGATCCCCTAGAAGCCAGCTTGGGTTTTGGGGTAAACTCCGCATTCAGTTCAAGCTGGCCTTGTCAAGCCCTGGCCCCGGCCCTGATGCTGAGTTAGAGCTAGGATGGGGGAAGGGCAGGGCCGCACGTTTTCCACCACAGCTTCTCAGCTCCCGTTTTCATCAGAGGTTTCAGATGGGAGACACTGGAGAGGGACCAAGGCTGCAGACTGTCACTGGAATGGATGAGGACCCACGATGCCAACTGCAGCCCCACCTGCTCACCACAGGGTCCACACAGCTGGGCTGCCAAGGCCGGTGGGGGGGGGGGGACGGGGCACTGTCAGCTTGGGGGACAGGGTCACACTCCGTGATCTGAAGTGGCAGCCTTTCACTGCACGCCTTTCCAGCACTTCGGCAAATGGGCTTCAACGGAAGAGAGAAGTAGCTGTTCTTCACGCGTTCCTGCTAGTCTCCATGTGTGCGACCTCCACAGTTCCCCTGCTGAGATCCCCCCACAGGATGGCAGGATGGCGGCACCAGGAGGCAGGTCTCTGGGAGGAAGGGGATTAGTGTCCTTACAAAAGACACCCCAGGGAGAGCCTGCATCCTCTCTGCCGGGTGAAGACATGGAGGGCAGAGGGTGCGGACAGTCAGCCCTGGCCAGCCCTGGCCAGCCGTGTGCCTGCCGCCTTGCTCTCCGACTTCCAAGGAGCAGCAGGCCACCCTGTCGCTGGCATTTTGCTGCAGCAGCCCCAGCGGACTAAGGCAGCCACGCACTGGGCCACAGGATTCCTGCTATTATGAGATCAGGGAGACAAAATGCCGAAAAGATAAAACGTAACACGGGAACAGAGCACACACTCCCTACTGTCACCACGGGAAGCAGGCTGCCAGGCAGCTGATCAAAGAATGACCGGTGCCAGGTGGCCAAGAACGGCAGCCCAGAGCTTGGCACGGGCACGAAAGGGGCTTCCAGTGATCTGGCCGCTTCTGAACATTTGGGTGTTGGCTTTCTGCACCCCAGCGGGAGCCCCAGAGTGCCTCTGAAATCTGACACGGCGGGGGTGGGCAAGTTGAGACACTGAGTCCTGGTGGATTAGAACCACCAGCCCCTACTGTGGGATGTCCTAAATTAAGAGTATTCCTATTAATAATAGTGCCTGCGGATTTATCCTGGAGACACATGTGCAAACATGCTTTGTGATGTCTAGGCAAGGCTAGTCACTGCGTAGTTAGACACAGCAAAACCTGGAGCAATTCAAATGTCTGTCAATAGAAGATGCACACATGATGGCAGAGCAGTACCACATAGGAGTAAGTCTGCTACAGAAAGGAAGGAACGTCCTGACCAAACTAAAGAGACACCATGAAGTGGACAGCAACACACAAATGACACAACAGTGCTACTACAGTGTATCTTTCAAGCAAAAAAAAAAAAAAGGAAACTAACAAGGATTATTCAGAGATTATTCAGATATAATTAAGAGTAGCAATTAGCAATAACCTACAGAAGGTTCTGGAACTAGGCCAATGGGATGGGAGACAAGAATTTAAAAAATGATTTCTAATGGATGGTTAAAAATAATTCTAGGCTGGGGCTGTGGCGCAGCAAGTTAAAGCCCTGGCCTGCAGCAATGGCACCTCATATGAGCGCCAGTTCGAGTCCTGGCTGTTCCACTTCCAACCCAGCTCCTTGCTAGTGTGCCTGAAAAAGCAGTGGAGGATAGCCCAAACCCTTGAGCCCTTACACCCACATCGCAGACCCAGAAGAAACTCCTGGCTCCTGGCTTCAGATCAGCCCAGCTCTGGCTGTTGCAGCCACGTGGGGAGTGAAGCAGTGGATGGATGGAAAACCTCTCTCGCTCTGTCTCTACCTCTCTCTGTAACTCTTTCAAATAAATAAGATAAAGCTTATAAAAAAAATTCTAGGGCCGGTGCCGCGGCTCACTAGGTTAATCCTCCGCCTTGCGGCACCGGCACACCGGGTTCTAGTCCCGGTCGGGGCACTGGATTCTGTCCCGGTTGCCCCTCTTCCAGGCCAGCTCTCTGCTGTGGCCCGGGAGTGCAGTGGAGGATGGCCCAAGTCCTTGGGCCCTGCACCCCATGGGAGACCAGGAGAAGTACCTGGCTCCTGCCATCAGATCAGTGCGGTGCGCCAGCTGCAGTGCGCTGGCCGTGGCGGCCATTGGAGGGTGAACCAACGGCAAAGGAAGACCTTTCTCTCTGTCTCTCTCTCTCTCTCACTGTCCACTCTGTCAAAAAAAAAAAAAAAAAAAATTCTAGGTTGTAAACCAAGGTTACAAAGTGTTAATAATTAAAATACTAAATTAAAATTTTTTTTGAATTATAACATTAGGTTATATATATATATATATATACACACACACACATACACATATACAGATATCCTTCAATACATAGACATTTCATAAAGGAAACTGTTAAGTGTAATTCTGCCTTTCTGTTGGGGGCTGGGGTAAGAGGGAAGACCAACTTTTTAAAAATTTCATTTATTTATTTTTCACTTATTTGAGAGGCAGCGGGAGACAGAGAAAGACAGACAGTGTCCCCACCCGCTGGTTCACTCCCTACATGCCCAGAAGCCAGGAACTCAACCTAGGCCCTACGAGCGTGGCAGGGGCCCGAGTATCTGAGCCCTCCCCTGCTGCTTCCCAGAATACGCATTAGCAGGAAGCTGGAATTGGAGAGGGCTGGAACTCACACCCAGGCGCTTTGATACAGGATGCAAGCATGCCAAGCAGCATCTTACCTGCTACGTCCAATGCCTGCCGTGACCTACTTCTTACCTATAAACTCTCGTACCACTTGGAGTTTTTGCCACACGCATGTATTCTTATCTCTTCAGAAACTGCAAGACCATATTGAGCATTTCCAGGTGGCAGGCACTGCCTAGCACTTCACACGAGAGCAGCAACAGGGAACACGCGCAGACGTCTGATGGCATTAGACTCAGCCTGCCTGGGTTAGAGTCCCTGCTCCTCTGACTTCTAGTTGTCTTGTTCTGGACAAGTTACATAACCTCCTGTGCCTCAACTTTCTCATCTGTATAAATGAGGTTAAGAATAGTACTTTAGGGGTCGGCGTCATGACGTAGTAGGTTAATCCTCCACCTGCGGTGCCGGCATCCCATATGGGTGCCAGTTCTAGTCCTGGTTGCTCCTCTTCCGATCCAGCTCTCTGCTGTGGCCTGGGAAAGCAGTAGAAGATGGCCCAAGTGCTTGGGCCCCTGCACCCACGTGGGAGACCAGAAAGAAGCACCTGGCTTCGGATCGGCTCTTCACCGGCTGTAGCGGCCATTTGGGGAGTGAACCAATGGAAGGAAGACCTTTCTCTCTGTCTCTCTCACTGTCTAAAACTCTATCAAATAAATAAATAAAATCTTTAAAAAGATACTTTATTAGGCTGCTGTGAATTTAAATACACACACACACACACACACACACAGAGGGATGCAGCTACATAAAACATGTCCAAACGAAAACAGCACACTGCAGAGACACACACAAGTCAGTGCGTGCTGCCTTGTGCTAACGGAATCCTCACAGCCACGCTAGGCTGGAAGTCAAATGCGGATCTGGTGGGTTTTGCTGCCTGGCTGCACTGCACCCAGCCTGTCTCCTGCTACCAGTGGCCCATATCTCCCCTGCTCTCAGCCCATCTGCTCTGGCTGGGGGTCCACTCGGTGCAGCATACAACCTGGCCTGAGCCAAACACCACATTTCCTGGGTCTGGGAGACTGGTGTGGGGACATGTGGGGACAGAGGATCCAGGCTAATCTGGCACAAGCAGAGTGGATCCCAAACCGCTAGGGAAGAGGTAATCCCACATCGCAGGAGTACAAAGCTGACGTTTGGAGGTTTGGGCCAAGGCTGTCTGGCAGCCACAATGGGAGGCTTGAGAGAGGCTGCTCCCGCTTCCATGGCATCCATCCTCCCTTTTCTACAGTCCTAGATGTTTTAGCTAGCACATGGCAGGAAGTGCACCTGCAGCTCTTCAGTGAGGCCTCTCCAAAGGGTCCCATTCCCTCTCCTCCTCCTCACTCTGGCTGCACGGTGACAGTGCCAGAGGCCCCGTGACCTGCGGAGACAGGGGCAAAGCCTGGGGACGCAGCGCCCTTGAGAGAAGGAGAAAGCGGCTCAGCCCTGGACTCCCTCCTGGCCTAACCCAGGGAGGAAGGTGCTGCCACGCAGCTGAGTGTGGCCCTTTTCACTGTCGGGAGGAGAATCCTGCCCACAGAGACTCGCACTAAGCAGCCGGCAAGACGGAAGGGGAGCGAGAAGTTAAGGAGCTGGAAACACGAGGGCCCCTGCGTAATCTGGCCCCTGTAGGAGCACCAGCAATCACCTCTTCTGCCCTTCTAACTAGGCTAACCTCCCGTGAGGAACCAGCACCATCTCCACCTTATAGATGAGGAAACGGAAGCTCAAAGAGGCGTGGGAACCCGGCCAAAGCGAAGCCCCCTGGGTCAGGTGAACTAGCTCGGTGAGTGGCAAGGCTGGGATGCTGTGCGGGTTGGTAGAAACCACAGCCTGTGCAGGGACAGCCCAGGGCCTCTGGCTGCGCCCTCTACCAAAGGCAGCCAGGAGCCAGGATCGCTTCACTAGCCCCGAGTTCCACTGGGGACCCAACAGCCAGGTCCCAGAGTGGGCCGTGGGAGGGAGAGGGACAGCCTGGGCTCAGCCTGCGGGTACTCACCCCAGCACACGCTTGGCAATGGTGTCCACCTTCTCCGAGATGGCCCCCAGCTGCGCTCGGCCCACGGCGGGACGCGTCCACAGGTAGGAGTAGGTGGGGGAGACTAGCTCCTGCAGGCGGCAGATGTGACCCTGGGGGAGGAGGCGGTCACCGAACGCACTGAGGCCAGGCGAGAGGAACAGGGGTGCCCGCCCACCCTCCTCCTCCACCCCCCCGAGACACACCTGTCTCAGCAGGATGATCCTCTCCACATACGCCGGCTCCAGCACGTGCCTGTTTTGCAGCTGGCTCCCGAAGGCCTCCTCCACAAGGGCCTGCAGCTTCCCCACCAGCTGGCGCCTGTGGGTCTCATCGCTCACCAGGCGCCGGAGGTGCAGTCTGTGGGAGAAGACACGGGGCTGCCCTGTGGCTGGCACCCCAAGCCCACTCACACCCTCTCTCCCGGAGCGCGGCAGGGGGAAGGGGACATCACGCTAGCCCTCCCTTGCACACCCAAGAAGCCGAATTCTCCTTACACTTATAAAAAGGGATCAGATGAAGATTACAGACAGACAGCCTGGGCTCCCACCAATCCACACACGTTTTGTTGTCTGGGCTTCTTAAATAGCTGGCATTTTATATCAGGAAGAAGTCCCATGAACAAGACAGTTCTGGGAGGCAGGCATTTGGCACAGCAGCTTAACCTCCTACATGCCAGATCAGAGTGCCTGGTTCAAGACCAGGCTACCCCACTTCCTGAGAATGCGAGTTCTGGAAAGCAGCAGGTGACGGCTCAAGTACTTGGGTCCCTGCCACCCACATGGGAAACCCGGACAGAGTTCCAGCCTCCTGGCGTTGGCCTGGCACAGCCCTGGCTGTGTGTGGGCATGTGGGGTATACAACAGCAGATGGAAGACCTCTTGCTCTGCCTTTCAAATGAAATGAAAACAAATACATTTTAAATATATATTTTTTAAACGTTCTGCCTTCTTTTGGGACCTGAGGAGATGGGACTGCAGGGGCTTCAATCAGCTGCAGACTCCAGCTGCGACTGCCAAGAGCGCCCCAGTTCGCCAGGCCCTCCGCTGCTGGGCCTCCCACCCCGCCCACCTCCTACCCTCTGCTACCTGCTGTGCCTCTACAGGCACCTGAGTTTATAAAGCAGAATCCTGGCCTCCCTGAATCCCAGGGATTGGCACAAGAGGAGAGGCCAAGGATGTGGCTCTCGAGGACTCAGAGCAGAGAACAGCACTGCGTGCACCTACATGCTCACATTTTAAAGCCTGGGGTCTCTTACATTACAAAAGATCAGCAAAATGAAAAGCTGGATTTTTGAAAAAATAAACAAAATTGACACATCATTGGCCCAACTAACCAAAAAAAGGAGAGAGAAGACAGAACTCAATAAAATTAGACATGACAAAGGGAATGTAACAACAGACACCACAGAAATAAGAGTCATCAAAAATTACTACAGAGAGTTGTCTGCCAGCAAACAGGGAAATCTAGCAGAAATGGATAGATTCCTGGACACATACAACCTACCTAAATCGAACCATGAAGACAAAGAAAACCTAAAGAGACTCATAGCCAAGTCAGAAATTGAATCAGTAATAAGGGCCCTCCCAACAAAGAAAAGCCCAGGACCGGATGGATTCACTGCTGAATTCTAACAGACATTTAAAGGAAGTAACTCTAATTCTTCTCAAACTATTTAAAACAAGTGAAAGAGAGGGAATCCTCCCAAATTCTTTCTATGAAGCCAGCATCACCTTAATACCTAAACCTTAAAAAGATACAGCATTGAAGGAAAATTACAGACCAATTTCCCTGATGAACATAGACACAAAAATCCTCAATAAAATTCTGGCCAATAGAATCTAACAACACATCAGAAAGATCATCCAACCAGACCAAGTGGGATTTATCCCTGGTATGCAGGGATGGTTCAATGTGCGCAAAACAATCAATGTGATACACCACATTAACAAACTGCAGAAGAAAAACCATATGATTATCTCAATAGATGCAGAGAAAGCATTCGATAAAATTCAACACCCTTTCATGATGAAAACTCTAAGCAAACTGGGTATAGAAGGAACATTCCTCAATACAATCAAAGCAATCTATGAAAAACCACAGCCAGCATCCTATTGAATGGGGAAAAGTTGGAAGCATTTCCACTGAGATCTGGTACCAGACAGGAATGCCCACTCTCACCACTGCTATTCAATATAGTACTGGAAGTTTTAGCCAGAGCCATTAGGCAAGAAAAAGAAATCAAAGGGATACAAATTGCGAAGGAAGAAGTCAAACTATCCCTATTTGCAGATGATGATTCTTTATTTAGGGGATCCAAAGAACTCCATTAAGAGACTATTGGAACTCATAGAAGAGTTTGGTAAAGTGGCAGGATATAAAATCAATACACAAAAATCAACAGCCTTTGTATACAGACGATGCCACGGCTGAGAAAGAACTTCTAAGATCAATCTCATTCACAATAGCTACAAGAGATGCTGGCGAGGATGTGGGGGAAAAGGCACACTAATCCACTGTTGGTGGGAATGCAAACTGGTAGAGCCACTGTGGAAGACGGTTTGGAGATACCTCGGAAATCTGAATATAGCCCTACCACAGGACCCAGCCCCCCACTCTAAGAGGTCAGGCGGCTGACTCATAGTTACCCAGCATTAGATACAAGCCCGAAGTCACAATCAGGTGCACGTGACCGCAGAGGCCCCTGTATCCTCCGCCCTGAGACCCCGTGCTGAGCAAGGAACCATCTTCTCTCTGGGGCTCTCCACGCTCCTCACTCACCTGTTGAATTCCGGGAGCTTCTCCAGCTCCAGCAGGGCCGAGTGGCAGGTGACCCGGCTCAGGTCGAACTGTGCTATCAGCTCCGGCAGGGTCCTGCCCATCTGGTTCTCTGTGAGGGAGACAGGCCCAGTTCCATAGCTTCCTCCCTCCACCGCAAACACGAGGAGGCAGAGTAAGCAAGCTCCGGACTCCCAGTTCCACTCTGACCCAAATGACTGGACTCGCTATTTTATATAGGAAGGGCCCAAAGGAGCTATCATTCTCCGAGAAGGTTCTGTTGCTAAGGGGGAAAAAGAGTCTGAAAACAATCAGGCCAAGCCAATCTCCATTAGCCTCAAAGACGGGAGCTGTAACTACAGGGGGCCATCGCCTGGGTGCACCCCAGCTCCCGATTCCACTGGCTTTGGGTGGGGCCTGGGCATCAGTGTGTTACAAGCTTTTGGGTTAGTCCTGAAGCTCAGGCAGGGATGAGAACCAAGGTGCTGCAAGCTGCTTCGCACGAGTGGTGGCTCTGGCTGACACCACCAGCAGGCACAGTGGTCAGGCACAGGCCTACCGTGCTGTGTCCCTTGCTAGCCATGCGACTGGCAAGCCACTCAACCTCTCCGAACCTCACAGTCCTTCCACGACCAGTGGATGTAACATACACCCGTCCATCGAGGCTACCTTCAGGGTTAAACGACACTAGAGCAGTCCATAGGAAGCACACTCTCAGAGACCCCTGAAACAGGAGGCCCTGCTGTTTGCTCTTTCTTCAAGGTTTGAGCTCTGCCTTGGTCCACAGATAAAGCTCAGCCCGGAATAAACTAGATTCTAATCATCATCGGATCCATAACTTCTGGGCTTACTGTGTGGCAGGCTCCACTCTGGGTGCCTTCCACTCCCGAGCTCAGAGAACTCGAACTGGAACCCTACGAGGCAGCCGCTTATCCCCCGTACAGATGACGCAACTGAGTCTCAGTGGCTTTAAGCTCTTGGAGGGCAAGGACTGTTGTCTACTGTGTTCAGCTTGGTGCCCTAGCACGTACCAAGTGCTGGGGTCAATAGACATATGCTGAACAGAAGAATGAGCTTGCCCAAGACCACGGGACGAGGCGGGGATCACAGAGCAGGTGTGCCTCAACCAAAGCCCCAGTCGGACAAGGCTGCGCTTTCTGCCACTGTGACCGCCCAGGGGCTGCATACCTGCGAACCCCGAGCCACAGTTGGTGATGATGTCGAGCAGGGCCTCGGGCAGGAAGCCGACAGCCGCAAAGTGCTCCAGGAAGATGTCCCCCTGCCTCTTGGACAACTTGCTGCCATCCTTGTTGAGTAGGAGCGGCAGGTGGGCAAAGCGAGGCGGCTGCCAGCCCAGGGCCCGGTAGAGCAGCAGGTGCTTGGAGGTGGACACGAGCCACTCGGAGCCCCGCAGCACATGGCTGATGCCCATGTGGTGGTCGTCCACCACGCAGGCCAGGTGGTAGGTGGGGAAGCCGTCACTCTTCAGGATGACTGGGTCTCCCTCCACACTGGCCACTTCATGCCGAGTCCAGCCATACACCAGGTCCTGGAAGGCTGGCGCCTCCTCTTCCAGGCGGAAGCGAATGGCAGGTGTGGGGTCCTTGGCCAGCTTCTGGGCCACCTGGCCCTGGCTCAGGTCCCGGCACCGATTGTCGTACCTGTTGGGAAGCAGAGCAAGTGAAAGCTAGAGAATAGCTGAAGACCCGAGTCCCACCCTCGTCTCTGACAGCTGTGCAGTCGCACTCACTCACCTCCGTCAGCTGTCTTCCTGAAGATCTGACCCCCACCCTCGTCTCTGACAGCTGTGCAGTCCCACTCACTCACCTCCGTCAGCTGTCTCCCTGAAGACCCGAGTCCCACCCTCGTCTCTGACAGCTGTGCAGTCCCACTCACTCACCTCCGTCAGCTGTCTCCCGAGGCTGGTACTGAGCGAGAAACATGCCATGGCAGGCACCAGCGTCCGTCTGCCTACCAGCCACGCCCCCTCCCTTACTAATGAGGAAATAGCAAGAGGCTTAGCCGGAGGGGTGGACCTGTGATGGGCACAGCCCACACGGCAGCCCACTCGCCCCACACCAGTGACCAGTCCAGATTAGCCTGGTCCCCAGGCACCAATCCAGATGGTGGTAAGGGTAGGAAAGGAGTTTCCCCTCCAAATACAGGCAAGAGAGAGCAAGAGCCGGAACTGGAAAATCCCCTTTAACGTCTCACTTCTCCTTTCTGCCCTCTTTGGATGCTGACCCAAGAGCGTGGGGGCGGAGGAGGGAGGGGTGTGCTGGGACCTGCCACAGCTACTTAAACGAAGAGAGAAGAGGCAAAGTAGTCGGAGATGGGCCAGAAGGAGCCCTGCCCTTTCTAAGCGCCCGGTCTTCTCCTGGAGTCGCCCATGTCCAGACCGCCAAAGACGGGGAGATGAACAACTGTATGGCATATGCTCTGGCATAATATGCTGCATCGGTCCACACAGCCCCACCCCACAATCTGCATGTTAATGACACCCCAGGGCGACTGGTCAGCACGTTAGAAAATGAGCAGTTCCGCCTAGTCGCTTTTCCAAGGTCGTCAGTTACAGGTGCCCCAAAGCGTCTAGATACAGATGAACATGTAAAGCTTGCAAGCTTAGTCCTGTCACAGCCAAGTGCTCAACCAGCAGATGGCTGCAAGCACTGGTCTCATGACAGGGCTCAGCCGTGATTTTAAGAAGTGACCCTTCCATGGAGAGACAGATCATTTATAATAGAAGAGCAACGCTGTACCTCGTGCAGTCATCCAAGCACCTGTCCAAATGGTTCCTCGGAACTAGAACTGAAATGTTAGGATGCCACTGCAGGTGCTGGGCAGTAGCAAAGCTACCAACTGACCCCGCAATTCCACACCTAGAAAGGTAGCCAACCAATGCACCACACACGTGCAAAATGGATGGCAACATCACTCACCACTGCTTGCTTTCCCAACAGAAAAAACTGACACAGAAGTTTGCGAATAGGGGACTGGCGTTGTGGCCCAGCGGGTTAAGCTGCCACCTACAAGGCTGGCATCTCCTATCGGAGAGCCAGTTCCAGTCCCAGCTGCTCCATTTCTGATTCAGTTTCCTGCTAATGTGCTTAGGAAAGCAGCAGCCCAAGTGCCTGGGCCCTGCACCCATATGGGAGACACGGATGAAGCTCCTGGCTCTGGCCTGGCCCAGCTCCGGCCATTGCAGTCACTGGGCGAGTGAACTTTCTGTCATTCTGCCTTTCAAATACATAAAATAAATCTTAAAACAAGAAGTTTGTGAATGAAGAATAGACCAAGTGAATGACAGCAGATCCAAACCCCACAGAGCACGACACCAGCAGGGGAAAAATGATGCAGTGCTCAGAACGGCAGGTGGACGACACTGCGTGCAGTCACCCGTGCAGGGGACGAGAAGTCACACCCACTCCTCAGCACTCAGGAGGAGACACGTGAAAATTCGAACGCCACGTGTCCCTGGAGAGGGGAAGAGAGTGGCCAGAATCAAGGTGGGAGAGGGATCTTGCAGTGTAGACCATGAGGGTACGGGGATTATTTAGAGCAGTAATTTAAACCACTTTACGTGGTACTGCCCAATACCCACACGGCAGGCAGCTTCTGATACAGCCCCAGGACTCCCACCTCCTGGTCTTGCTGCCCCGGGCTGTCCCTTCCTTCTGAGTGTGGGCCAGACCTAGTGACCTCCTCCAAAGAACACAACAAAGGCCACGAGATGTCTTCTGCTGGGCTCCAGCTGCCCCCGGAGAGGATCGGGGCAGGGAACACGGGTCTCCTGGCAACAGCCAGCAGGCTACCCACAGCCTCCAGAAGATGGAAGCCAAAGCTTCCCAAGAGGACCGCTGAGATAATCACAGGCCAGCAAGTCCTGCACAGCAGCTTCGAGGCACCTGAGCACAGGGACCCCACCACCCCATGGCCAGCAGCCTGACCCACGCAAATGGGCGGTGGCGAGAACGAGGGGTGACGTGTGAGATGCAGTACTAGGTGACCCACACCCCCAGCAGCGGGGGCGGGCCGGGCACTCACCGGGGCGTCTGGCGGTTCCGCAGGGCCTCCTTCTTCAGCAGCTCCAGCCGCTGGGGCGAGCAGAAGCAGCGGTAGGCAGCCCCCGTCTTCAGCAGTGCTTCTGCGGCCTGGGCGTACAGCTGCAGGCGCTGGGACTGCTGGTAGGGCCCGGCAGGACCGCCCTGGCGGGGGCTCTCGTCAGGGGAAATACCTGTAGCACAGGGAGAGGGGCAGTGCCAAGGAATAACCACCAAGGAGCACACAGCACATATTCCCCAGCCCTGCTCCCGCACTTGACGTGCACATTAAAGCTGTTTATCCTCCAGGCCAGCGCTGTGGCGTAAAGCCACCACATGCAACACTGGCATTAAACATGGGCACCGGCTTGAGACCCCGCTGCTCCACTTCCGATCCAGCTCTCTGCTACGGCCTGGGAAAGCAGTGGAAGATGGCCCAAGTCCTTGGGCCCCTGCACCTGCATGGGAGACCCGGAAGAAGCTCCTGGCTCCTGGCTTTGGCCTGGCCCAGCCCAGACCATTGCAGTCATTTGGGGAGTGAACCAGTGGCTGACAGCTGATGGAAGATCTGACTCTCTCTTTTCCTCTCTGTAACTGTGGCTTTCAAATAAATAAAAGTTAATCTACCCAAAACCAAACAAAAAAGCGGGAGCTGTTCATCCCCACTACCCATGAGGCCAGGGCCATGATTTAGACATAAAAGGTAAAACAGAGAGGGCGTGCACTGCAGGTCACAGGCAGGTCGACGCAGGTGTGTGGCTCCCCTCGGTAGGCCTCTGCCTCCAGCCTTCCCTGGGCCCAGGCCCGCGGCTGCCTTTCTCCTGAGTCATCCCCCGGCCACGGTGAGCTGCCCGGGGTGAAGTGCTTGGCAGCCTGCCTGGCACGTGCCGAGTGCTCAGCACATTTCTGGCTGGCATTAATGTTATTTAGCTCCCTCTGTCTCTTCATTTGTCAGAAGAGAGAGCTGGATCACAGAAATATGGGGCCCCTTCCTGATCTAACCTTGAACAAGTCTCTTTAACACGGACACCATCTCGGATCGGCCCAGGGTTTGAGTGACTTCCCCTAGCAGTGAAAATAGACGTGCGCATGAAACCATCACGCAAAGGTTCACAGCAGGCTTATTCCTCACAACCCCAAAGTAGAGACAACCCACAGGCCTGCCCATTGGTCTATGGGTAAACAAAATGTGGTATATCCACATAAAGAACCGTATTTTGGTCATCAAAGGGGAGGGGGACATTAGACGCAGTGGTTATGAAACTGCCTGGAACGCCCCTCCTGTGCCCGGGCTCTAGTGCCGGCTCTGCTTCTGATTCCAGCTTCCTGCTGAAGTACACCTAAGGAAACAACAGGCAATGGCTCAAGTCCTTGGGTCCCTGCCACCCTCATGGAGGCCCACGATGAGTTCCTGGCTTCTGGCTTTGGCCTGGTCCAGCTCTGGCTGTTGCAGGAATTTGGGGAGTGAATCAGTGGATGCAATCTCTCTCTGCTTTTCAAATAAATAAAATAATAAGGAGGACATGCTTGCACATATTATCACACACATGAACAACATGCTAGTGAAAGCCAGTCATGGGGCCAGCCCTGTGGTGCAGCGGGTAAAGCTGCTGCCTGCAGTGCCAGCATCCCATATGGGGGCCAGTTCAAGTCCTGGCTACTCTACTTCCGATCCAGCTCCCTGCTATAGCCTGGGAAAGCAGTAGAAGATGGCCCAAGTCCTTGGGCCCCTGCACCCACGTGAGAGCCCTGGAAGAAGCTCCAGGCTCCAGGCTTCAGATTGGCCCAGCTCGAACCACTGCAGCCATTTGGGGAGTGAACCAACGGATGGAAGACCTTTATCTCTCTCTCTCTGCCTCTCTGAACTCTTCCTTTCAAATAAATAAATAAATAACTCTTAAAAAAATTTTTAAAAAAGCCAGTCATGAGGCTGGTGGTGTGGCACCTGTGATGCCAGCATCCCATATCAGAGCAGTGGTTCAAGTCCTGGCCACTCTACTTCCAATCCAGCTCTCTGCTAATGCACTTGGGAAGGCAGTGGAGGATGTCCCAAGTACCAAGGTCCCTGACGCCCAGAAGGGAGACTCAGATTGACTTCCAGGCACGTGGCTCGACCTGGGCCAGTCCTGGCCATTGCAGTCATTTGCAGAGTGAACCAGTGGATGGAAGATCTCTTTCTCTCTCTTTCAAATAAGTAAAAATAAAAAAATCTCTAAAAGAAAAAAGCCACAGACTCAGATTTTTGAATGGTGAATTTCTTACTATGTGAACTCTACATCAAAGAAGAAAAGGTGACTCCCCAAAATGAAAAGCTCCAAGAGTCACACACCCTAGGTGCCCTCTGCCTTGTCAAAAGGCTAGGGGTTGGGGGAGGCCTGGAGCTGTGGCATAGCAGGTAAAGCCACCATCTGTAGTGTCGGCATCCTATGTGGGCACTGGTTCGAGCCCCAGCTGCTCCACTTCTGATCCAGCTCTCTGCTATGGCCTGGGAAAGCAGTAGAAGATGACCCAAGTGCTTGGGTCCCTGCACCCACGTGGGAGACTTGGAAGAAGCTTCTGGCTCCTGGCTTCAGACTGGCCCAGTTTCAGCCGCTGCGGCCCTCTGGGGAGTCAACCAGCAAATGGAAGACTCTCTCTACACCCCTGCCTCTCTGTAACTCTGCCTTTCAAATTAATCAATTAACTAATTAATTAATTTTTAAAAAAATAGCTGAGGGGGCTGTAGGCCCCAACCCCATAACCATGCTGGATGGGGGCCCCAATAGGCGGGCTCCATCAGCCGTCTTCATCCCATATCCCTCGTGCCCCTTACGCTGCCTGATACAAGAGGACTCCAAAAAGGTTGAGGGAAAAGAGTTTATTTGGGTGGGAAAAACTCAATTAAAACCCATGCAAACATTTTGTTCATAGTGTGCGATTTTTCCTGACCTTTTTGAAGCCCCCTCATCCCACAGAGTCCGGGCAATCACCTCTGGCCTGTTCTGCTGTCCTCACTGTGCCTGAACCATACAGGCTGCCTTCCCTGCTGCTCCCCAAACACACCCAGCACTTTCCTTCCCCAGGGCTTGGCACCTGCCACTCCGCCTGCTTGGACAGGCTTCCCCTAGGTAGCCCGGGGCTGGCCCCTCACTTCCTGTGAGTGGCTGCTCCAGCCTCACCGCCTCATTGGAGAACACCCTACCCCAGTCCCCTACCCTGGTCCCCTTTCTCACAACACAAACACCACACTAAGAATCAATCCGTCTGCAAGGTCTCCGCTCAGTGTGCCCAGCGCTGGGACAACACCCGGATCACACAGGAAGTGGTCTCGCTGAAGAAATTCCTGCACTCGAGGAAGCTCCACGGAGTACCCGCTCCCACCCTCTGCAACAGAGGGCAGCGACGGAGAGCCTTCTGCCCGCAGGAACCCGGGGTCCCGGGGAGCACTACTTGAGGCTGCGACACACGTTCCAACACAGCCGCGGTCCCTGCCCTTGGGCAGCTTCCCCTCTCCTGGTCACACCTGGCCCATGGGGGCTCTGGGTTGGCGCGGTCCTGGCAAACCCACTCCTCTTGGTTCTCCCTGGCCTAGCTGGCCAAAAAAATTAAACGTCCCGCAAGAAGATCAAGTTTGGATACTGCACACATTTTGTTTGGCTCCTAGGGTGTGGTTAAAAAAAAAAAAAAAAAATCTGAGCCCAGACTTACCAATGGGAAGTATTCTTCAATAAAAAAAAAAATCTGGATTTTTGGCTTGCTTTTGAACTCAGAAGAGCGGACAAGCTGGGCCACAGTCCCAGGTGGGAAGCCGCGGCCGGAGTGCAGAGGTGCAGCCTGCTTCGAAGGAGCCATACTCTCCGCTGCTCACGACGGGCCCGGCTCTTCCACTGCCCGTGCGGCCGAGTTTCCTGCCTGGGCCCTGGAGGGTCGGGCCTGAAATTCTGAGCTAACAGCCCCGCGGCTTTGATTCCGGGAGTTTCAGCACCTTGTAGGGAGGCACCTGCCACCCCAGGCCCAAAGGTACCTACCCTTCCAGGAAGCCCTCGTCCTCCACCCCGGGCCCCCTGAGATGACCCGCAGGCTCCTCTGCCCGCTCCTCCCCTGGCAGCCTCACCCGCCCACTCCAGCATGTCCTCAATGTTGTCGGCTGCTCCGGGCACGAGGCGGGTCTGGTCTGTGTCCTCCAGCCGCAGGATGAAGCGCCCCTGGTGCTTCTTGGCAAAGATGTAGTTGTACAGGGCAGTGCGAAGGCCGCCCAGGTGCAGGAAGCCTGGCAGAAGGAAATGACTCAGGTCAGAGCAGGGAGATGTGTTCCTGGGCCTCAGTCTGAGACAGAAATGCCCCAGCGAGTTCCAGGGACCATGAAGCAGCCAGCGTCCAGGTGGCCCGACCGTCCAGGAGGACCTAGGATTAGCTTCTCAACCTTCCCCCAGGGTTTGGGGCATATCATTTTGCACAAGGGCTCCAATTCTTGCCAAGTGCCCTCTCTCGTTTGCCTCAAGGCCAAGTTTCGCCCGAAGAGGAGCAGCCCCAGATTATTCACTGAAGCCTTGTCAGGCATTTAAGTCAGGCACAAATCAATGCTCCCCAGGAAAAACAAAGCTAATTTAAAATGCGATAAAATCACACTTTGTGTTTGCACCTTACGGGATACAGGAAACTGTCTACGTCGCACATTTTGAATTACATCTCCTTGGTATTTTCACTTAAGGGCTTGGTTTAAACACTAACCCAAAGCACCAAGTGTATTTAATCCCAGAGCTCAGAGGCGCAGCCTGCATTTCGCCTTGTCAGGCTTTGCTTTTTCATCATTCCAGAATGAAAACCGAAACCACGAAGGTTTCTCCAGGGCAGTCATTTCCTCCTTTAGCCCAACCCTCAGCCCGGAGGCTCCACAATTAGTTAATCCAGGTGCAGCAGGGCCTAGGGAGACCTCTGGGGCCGGGTACTTCCTGGAGCAACACTGCCGGCATGGGAGAAAACCAGAGGAGCTCAATGGCCCTGGGTCCCAAGAGTCTCGAGACGGATTAAATGTTGGCCAAACTCCATCCTCAATTAATTTCAGCTATTACACTCAGCTATGTTGCTTGTTAATTCCCCTGTTTATAGTCATCGGGTTTTCCCACGTGGGCTTCTCCTCCAACTCAGCACGCGAGAATTCCATCATCACAACGCAGGCTGCTGTTTATGAAGGGCTTTCTGCGGGCACCAGACCTTGCCAAGTGGCTCAGTGGCATCCGCTGGGACCCATGAGGCGGCACTGTCATTAGCCCTGTAAATGCCGGTTCCCGCTATGAGCGCTGGTTCCCGTCCTGGCTGCTCCGCTTCTGATCCAGCTCCCTGCTAACCTGCCTGGGGAAGCACCAGGCCCTTGGGCTCCTGCCACCCGCACGGGAGACCCGGATGAAGTCCCAGGCTCCTGGCCGTTGCGGCCATTTGGGGAGTGAACCAGTGGAAGATCTCTGTGTCTCTCCTCCCTCTGTAACTCTGCTTTTCAAAAAAAAAAAAAAAAAAACTTCCAAAAGTAATGTAAAAGAATTCCAGGAATTCTAATACCACTGAACTAGCATCGACTGGAATTTGACCACCAGTTCGAGAAACACTGCCGCACAGTCTACTGCCTGCACGGCCGGGACCTCACACTGGCCCTGGGGTCTGCAATGAGGCATGTGTGGAGAAGGCAGCCCTGATGAGAAAATACTGGGAACGGGCGCGAGCTCCAACAGGCAGGCTGTCCAGAGGGCCTCGGCTCGCCCACACCCGCACCGATTCGCTGAGCTCGCGCCAACACCAACCACAGGGCCTTGGGACATGCAATTCCTTGCCACTGGCTTCTCAGCCAAGGGCTTCCGAGCACCCCACCCAAGCCCTAGTCGGGTCGGTCGTGGCCAGCACAAGGCAGGCTGCCCGGGCGCAGTGTCCCCAGCGTACAGAACGCTACCCGGCAGAACCTACGACTCAATACACCTTCCCGGGCGCATGAGGAGCCGGGAAGGGAAAAGTCCTCAGTGTCTGCCTCTGCAAAATGGGGTCGCAAAGCCCCCTCCCCGGCGCCGCACCACCGGAAGCGGTGCGTTCGGGAACTTTCCGGGGGCGGGGACGGGAAGGTACGCCACATCCCACAGCCTCACGTCCCCCGCCGTTACCTGTGGGGCTGGGGGCAAACCGCACTCGCACCGCAGCCCCGGGATCGGCGCCCAGGCTGACCTCGCGCCGCCCCAGGGGGCGGCCCCAGGCCGCCGGGGTTCTCCCCGGCGGCAACAGCCTCTTCCAGAGCGTCGCCATGTGGGGCGGACTCACACACGTGTGCTTCTGGCTGCGTCACTTCCGGGGATTCCTCCCAGCCAATCCGCCTCCGCCACAGTGCGCTCAGTCCCACCCCCTTAAAGTCGCAGGCCTCCTCGCTCGACAGCCTACGGCCCCGGGATCGGCTTCGGACCCACTCGGCCGCTAGGGGGCAGAGCTCCCGAAGTGGGTGATTTCCAGGCCCCGCCCCCCTCCGTCGGGAAAGCTAAAGCGTGGCAGGGGCCGGGCCGGGGAAGCGGAGGAGGCGGGTCTCCATAGAAACCTCCACCTGTTTCCGGCCAGGCTGTGCGCGATTAGGGGCTGCTGCGGGGGCCAATCTCAGCCAGCTCGTCTCTTCCCAGCGGCCTCTGCGGGAGCGGTGGGTGTTGTACACAATCATCATGGCGGCGGCCGGGGCCCCGGATGGTGAGTGCGGAGGGGTTGGCGGGCGCCGGGCTGGGCCCCAGGTTGCGGGCGCTCCTGCTGGGGAGGGATGCGGCCTGGGCCCGGAGGGAGGAGCTTGACTCGGGGGCCGGGATTCGGCGGCGCCGGCCTAGAGTCCCGTCCCAGGCCCGGCCCGCGGCGAGCGCCCACCCCCTAACCCCTTTGCAGGCATGGAGGAACCTGGCATGGACACGGAGGCCGAGACCGTGGCCAGCGAGGCGCCCGCGCGGCCCCTCAACTGCGTGGAGACCGAAGCCGCAGCGGGGGCGGCGGCCGAGGACTCCTGCGCGGCGCGAGGCAGCCTGCAGCCGGCCCCGGCCCAGCCCCCCGGGGACCCCGCGGCCCAGGCCTCGGTCAGCAACGGCGAGGACGCGGGCGGCGGCGCGGGCCAGGAGCTGGTGGACCTGAAGATCATCTGGAACAAGACCAAGCACGACGTGAAGTTCCCGCTGGACAGCACGGGCTCCGAGCTGAAACAGAAGATCCACTCGATCACAGGTGATCCCGCGGGCGCCCGCAGCAGGCGACGGCCGTGCTGGCCGCGTTGCCTCGGTCCGCTCCCAGGGCTCGCAGCAGGCCCCCGACGAGAGTCCTTGAATGCCCGTGGTTGCTCAGACCGGGGGTCCCACGAGATCCAAGATCTTAGGACTGGTGGGCGGCTGAGCTGCCGCTCCAACCCGGGTCGACTCTAAGCTTCTCAAACAAGCTAATGTCGCTCCTGACATCGCTCCGTGAAAACCTGTTTTTATGATTTATCTGCGGCATCTGTTAAATTTACAGCTCCTGGGCCCTGTCCTCGGAGATTCTGGTTCAGCGGGTTCGGGATGCAGGCAGGAATTTCTTTTAAGCGAGTATCTTAGGTAATTCACCTAAGGGAAGTTTAGGGACTAGTGCTGCTGACTGTCAGACGCTGGGCTTGGACGGTTGCTCGTATTTCTTAAGTTTATGTTGCATACAGCGCTTTGCTGTCTGCAGTGCGCTTCGAAGAAGCCTTCTGCGTGTGGCTCAGCCCCCTGAGAACAGGCACTCTTGTTCTTGGCTTCTGTACTCCGCTGACGCCTGTGGTTTCGCACGCGATAAATTTGATTAGGTGATGAACAACTTGGAAAGAATGATGGCTAATGTTTATTGAGCCATTGCTGAATATCAGGTGCTGTACCAAATGCCCCCACGTGTGTTCTGTCTCTAAAGTTTTAGAACAGGTCTGTGGTAGAAAGTTCTGGAAATGGGGCTCAGAGGTTGTGAGTTGCTTCGGGGCTGGATCCAGTACTGACTTCCCGGTCTGTCCCTTTCCTTGTCTGCCAAGGTCTCCCACCCGCCATGCAGAAAGTCATGTATAAGGGACTCGTCCCTGAGGATAAGACGTTGAGAGAAATCAAAGTGACCAGTGGAGCCAAGATCATGGTGGTCGGCTCCACGATCAATGATGTGTTAGCTGTGAACACGCCCAAAGACGCAGCGCAGCAAGATGCCAAGGCCGAAGAGAACAAGAAAGAGCCCCTGTGTAGGCAGAAGGTGAGTCGGTTCTGTGCGTGTTGGTCCTGAGAATCTGAGCCGTGGCTGCTTACGTTCTCCCTAGAATAAGCTCCTTTTCGGACAGGGCCCATGATGGAAATTCATGGCGGCAGTTGGGTGCGGCAGAGTGGAGGTGCCAGCTACCTGAGATTTGCAGCTTTGTCTCATCTGGCGGGTCAGTGTGTCTCAAGTCTACCTACTTTAGGGTTAAGGCCCCGGTGAGAGGGAGGCTCCAGACCAGGTGTTGGAAAGAGTCAGATGTGGGTCTCTCTTTCCGTTTCGTGTCACGTTGAACTCCCGCTTGGACACCTGTTACCTTTGTTCTCTGATTTGCGGCTTCCCCCAAGTGAACGAGCGCTGAGTTGTGGAGCTCAGCAGCTCTTGCGGGCCCTTCAGAGCCGGCCATTTCAGACAGCCAGGTGAAACTGCTAGGCAGCTAACTGCCCTGGCTTGGTTTGGTTTGGCCCTCCAGGTTCCAGGTTTTGTCCTCCTTTTCGCATTTTCTGTTGCTGATTTTGGATGGAAAAGATCCAGTTTTGCCTTGTGTTTGTCCTAGCCATTTATTTAAAAGAAAGTTTTTTAAAGTGTGTTTTTATTTAACATGCAGGGTGATATAGGAGACAGTGATCTTCCAATGACTGTTTCACTCTCCAAATACCCACAACAGCCAGGGTTGGGCCAGGCTGAAACCAGGAGCCCAGAGTGCAGTCCAGGTCTCCCACATGGGTGGCAGGAACTCAAGCACTTGGGCCGGCCCCTGCTGCCTCCTGGGACTCCTTAGTACGAAGCTGAACTGGAAGCAGAGTAGCCGAGGGACTCCAGCGAGTGTTCCCGTATGGGATGTGGGCATCTCAACCAGTTGGCTCAACCCCCTGCACCGTCAGCACCTGCTCCTAAGATCCCTTCTGTGTTCAGGAAAACCGCTGTTACTGCACTGTGGAAGGGAGCAGGTGGGAAGATCACCACCTGTGATCTGATCCCACAATGGATCTCACTTGTTGCTGAGCAGCCTCCTAGCTGTTCTTCGAAGTGTTCCAGGAAAGCAGGTGTTCTCAACCTAACCTTTGCCCTGAGTAGAGTAGAGCCACTCACGCCAGCGTGAGCCTCGGTATCCAGAGGTACAAAGATCCACAGCCAGCTGTGGAAGAGGAGCACATTTTTTGTTAGAGATCCCTGATCCCTCGTGGGCTTCTAAAGCCCACAAGGGAACTGGAAAACAAGTGTTTGTATAAACAGCAAAACCGGCCCCTAATTAGGGTGCATATGCATGTTTTGCTGTGGAAATACTAGCAATGCTCCATGCTGAGTGCTGTGCCAGACCCCAGGGAGGACATAGCTTAACGTGTTTCAGCATTGTGTTTCTAAGAGCCCTGACACTAAAGCCCAAAGCATTTGCTGGTTTCCGATGAGACATTGTACACCTGCTGACATCCAAAAGGTGTGCTATGTGGACTCTTCACTCCCAGATGTGGAATCCAGTTGAGTTTATTTCCATGTCCCTGCCTTCATCTGCACGTGTGTGAAACAGTCAGATAAGAGCTAGCGTTGGTTCGCACTGGTCACACCCTTGGAGCACAGCATGCCTCTTAAGTACAGGTTTTGAGTTGCTAATGGTAGCTTAGCAGGTTTAGAACTGCTATGGTGCAGGGAAAATTCTTCAAAAGGTGCTTGCTAGGAGTGACTCAGATTAGACTTGCAGCCCATGCAGCTTTGCTCCGTGGAATGCTGGTGATGACGCGTGACGTGGCTAATGAGAGGGATCGAGGCCCTTGGCTTTGATCAGCCTGGTTGGGAATCTGGCTGATGGCTGTGGTGCCCCTCTGCTAGTAGTCTGGCAGTGTTGCGTGTCTCTCCCAGGGCGTGTCGGCCATGCCAGCGAGAGTTTGAGCTGGCTCATGGCCATCTGAGGCTCAGGTTTGGAGAAGCTGTTACCCTCTACCCACTCATTGCCCCATGGTGCCAGCATTAGCAAGCAGTTATAGCCGTACCCGTGAAGCACAGATGGAGGGAAAACAGCACTCAGGCACCTGGGCCAGACAGAAGAGGACTTGCAGGGGCCATGAACTCAGTCCTTAGGCTGAGCTGCCTCAGAGTCCTTGGGTAGCAGGTCTGTGGCGTCTTCGCATCAAGGGGTAGAGTCACTAGCATGTCTGTCCGGAAGTGTGGCTCTCTGAGCTCTCTGCTTAGTGGGCTGGGTCTCCAGGGCGAGAGGAAGCGCACTTTCTAGTCTGCAAGGCTTGCTCCCGGCGTCTTCTGATGGGGGGGCATTTTAAGTGGCCGTCCTCTTGGGCCAGCCGGGAGGGCAGCCGCCACCAGGGCTCCCTTCCACCAGGTAGTTAATGCTTCCACCAGTGGTGGTGTGGGGGGAGGAGGGCGTGAGACTGTTGAGTCAGCAGCGGGGGAGGGGGGCCCTCTTGTCTGTTCTGGAACTTTACTGTCCAATGCGGTAGTTAGGTGTGGCTGCCTAAGAATTCAGTTCCTCCATCTTCCCAGCCGTAAGGAGCTAGCTGGTGGCCTGCTAGCTTGCCGCCCTCCCAGAAAGTTCCACAGGGCAGTCCTGCTCCGTCGAGTCAGAGGGCCCAGTGTGTAGCCACCAGGCTTTCAAACCCGAACTGGAAGTCCGCCTTCATCCCGTCTTGAGCAAAACACGACTGCTGTGCAGACAAGGGTGTCATTTAACGATCCCTCTGCCTTGCGTTACAGCAACACAGGAAAGTCCTGGATAAAGGAAAACCCGAGGACGTGATGCCATCAGTGAAGGGTGCCCAGGTAAGCTCCCCAGCAAGGACCCGAGCCCCGCTCCGACGGCCGGAGCCGCCCGGGAGCGCCTCCCTTTGCTCACCCCACCCCCTCCTGCTGTGCTCTTGTGCCGCCAGGAGCGCCTGCCGACGGTCCCCTTGTCCGGCATGTACAATAAGTCCGGGGGAAAAGTGAGACTCACCTTTAAGCTGGAGCAAGACCAGCTGTGGATCGGCACGAAAGGTACGCCACTCCGCACCTGCCCCCTGCCAGCGGCGCGGCTCTGCGTCCGGCCGCGCTCCTCCTCGCTGTGCTTCCGCCTCTGAGTTTGCTGTGAGACACCTGCCTTTTGTTTTGGACCCCTCCCCCTCGCTCTCTTCAGCCTGATCCCGGGACCCAGCCATCAATCATGGGCTCCTGGGTTGCACACAAACCAGAGGTCCCAAACACGGGGCCCGAGAGCCCAGCCTGGCCCCTCCGGAGGGCTTTGTGCATTTACACACACTCCGTAAAAATCAGGAGATTTCACATCATGAATTTTTTTTGTGGGGGAGGAGGGTGCAAGGGGGCTTCTCTTGAAAATAACCACAAGATGTGGCTGCCTTGGCCTGAGTTCCCGCCGCGGCATCGCCAGCTGCAGCCGAGTGGTCGTTGCAGCGGGCCCCGCCTCTGTCGCCAGGGTCCTGTCTCCTGTGTAGCCGGCTTCCTTCGTTCTCGCGCTGTGCCTGGCCCCTGCAGTGGGCACGGGTGGTTCTCCTCCATGCCTGTGCTGTTGTGTCTGGGCCAGCCTTGCTGTCTGCTGGCAAATGTCTGTGACCCCAGGGTCGTCCCTGCCCCGGCTGGTCACCCAGTCTCGTCAGTCACGCACCACAACTGTCTGTGTCCCCTTCTTTGCCGCTGTGTTGTGCCTGTTAAGGCTCCTCGCGTCCTGCGACTTTGTCGGTTAAAAGCAGGTGGACCTGTTTGCCCTGCTGGCCGGGTTTCTTCTCTCCCTCCCCACGCTGCTGTTCTTGGTTTCCACGCTCTTTCAGGCCAGGTTCAGATGCCTCAGCATAGCATTAGTGACCCTCCTGGCGGCCGGGCATCTCGGCTGCCTCCCTCCCTGAACCTCCCAACACGCTTTGCTCCTACCGTGCCTGTCCCTGGAACGCTTTCTTCCCACTTGTTGTTCTTCATAAACTCTTCCCAGGCCCTACTTCCGTGTCCCCTACCGCGGCCTCCCCCGCCACCTCCCGACCCTCCACGTGAACCGCCGCCGCTGCTGCTCGTGGGGAGCTGTCCCCAGAGCACTCATTACTCTCCGACTTGTCTGTCCCCCGTTAGATTCCCGGAGGGACCGGAACATGCCTAATTCACCTGTTTCTGGCCAGCACTGTAGGTATTCAGTGTTTGAGGTAAACGCTAAAGAGAAGTATAGGGGGGTCCCACCATGCGAGGTGAATTGATTTGAGGGCCATGCCATCAGTGTGATCCCACGTAAAACAGGAGGAAGCCCTCACGGCAAAGCACCAGGGCACGGGTGGTGGGGAGTGAGCTCTTTCATCGCCTGAACGAGGAGAATTCCAAAACCTGAAAGCGAGGTGGTTTTGTTTTGTTTTGGTCTTTATCATCCATCCTGTGCTGGTTCTTAAAACGAGCAAAGACTGACATGCTGTAAATGCTTGGAGTTTTCTAACAGTTTTATGGTAACTTGCTCTGTATTCTTCATTTCCCATTCGACTCTAACTGCATGGTCAAAGCGAGAGCAGCACATTTGGAGGGGTCGGCCTGGCTTCGGAGAGGGCCTTCGTGCCCTTTCTAGAATGACCGTCTCTGCGGAGCCTGCCCCGTCAGACCCTCGTCCTGCCTCTGTCCTTTGCTTCGTCTTCCCCTGTTGCGTTCACTTGCCACAGTGCAGAGACTGCCCGCTGCCTGCTAGAAGCTTCTTTTGGCTTGTGGCAGTCCAATGGGAGGCCTTTGAGCTGGTCAGGGAAAACCGATGGTGCCCACGGGTAGAACTGCAGGCAGCCGGAGGGGCTGGGAGGGATCCGAGTCCACCTGCTTGTTAGGTCTTCCAGGGACCCTATTAATGGTAAAGTCGTGTAGCACATACGTTGTAACTGGAGGGACTGCTGTCCCTTGGTCGGAGGCTTTATCTTAACTGGCAGGAGGCAGAGCTCAAGAAGTTGGTTGTGAGCTGCTGGAAGCCTCCTCCCTTATCAGCCTTGTTGAGGAGCATGGCCGTGAACTTCCCACGCCTTCCAAGTTGACCAAGGCTGGGAGTTTGATTCCCAGCCAGGTGAGTGTGGCGGTCGGTGTCCCTCGAGAGCCCAAGGGCAGGCCCTCTTCCTCCTCGCCCTGAGTCCTGTCACCCCAGTGTCACGAGCACATGGGGGAAGACAGCTTGTTCTGGGACATGGCGGCTGGCCACCGGCTTCGCCTTTCTGCTGGCGGATGCTGCTGTGGATGATCCCCCCCCCCCCACCAGCAGCGAGTCAGCCTTGCCCTAGGGTGCTCTGGGGAGCAAGCGGCCCTCGAGGGCTGCTGCTCTCATCGTGGGTGCGGTGCGCTGGCTTGTGTGGCAGGCGGCCGTCGCTGCCGCCCCAGGCAGGGCGGCCCGAGGACATGTGGCCCTCAGGAGAGCAGGTCCCTGTTTGCAGGGGAGTCGCGCCTCTCATCTCGCTGATGCCATCGGCCAGGAATGTGGGCTCAGCTTGTCCCTGTCTTGGGAGTTTTCAAGAGAAGCCAGAAATGCCTGATTTTTGTGAAATCTCTGTAGGTGTTGCAAGGTGAAAGGTGGTTTTAAAAGTCTCAGTCTTGGGGATGACTGGGCCCTGTTGGAGAGCCTGAGAGAGCACCTTCGGGTTCCTCCTCCCTGGCCCTGTTTTTCAGAGAGCAGAGCCCAGACAGCGTGGAACTGAAAGGTCTTAAGCCACTTGCAGGCCCGGCCCAGGTCTCCAAACTCCTAGTCGCCTGTTTTCAGGTCCTGCCTTTCCAGACTTTTCTTTCTGCAAAGGCTGTAACGAGTCTTTCTCACCTTGACCTAACTCCAGGCTGAGAACTTCTGCTTGCCCCTCGGGCGTCTGCTGCTTCGGGGTGGGGGGTCACTTCCTGGGGTGCGGGCGCCCTCACCGGCCAGCCCCACTGCCTTCAGCTCACCCCCCACCAGCCTCATCCCTTGCTGCCGCCCTTTCCTGCCTGCTGTCCTTAAGCCTGCTGTGCAGTGTCTCTGACCGCGGGTGACCGTGAGCCCTCCGGGGTTCATCACAGGAGGTTACAAACGTATTAAGTATTTCATGGGGGGCCGGGATGGGGGCCTGGGTCATGGTGTAGAAAGCAGCCCTGAAGGCGGAGTGGCCTTCGCTCACGTGAGAGCCCTGGGGACACTGTTGCCCTGCTCCTGGGCCTCCTGACTCACTTTAGCCCAGGTGCCTGAGACCTTAGCCAATGCTGGCCATGGGCAGGAAGGGTACAGAGGAGTTCCTTGGGTGTTTAGTGATCATCAGACTTAAGAGAACCCCGGAAGTAAAACAGCTGTGCCCTCAGAGACCCTTACTATCCCACTGCCAAATCCTGTTCTCCACCTGCTCCTAAGGGGTTGCCAGCTCCCCAGCAGGGCTGTCCCGTTGCTCGCAGAGGGTGAGTGTCCTGTAGGCCCCACGACACCAGCCCTCCCAGGGGTCTGCTGAGGCAGAGGAGGTGGGCGAGGAGGGCCTTTGAATAATCTCTGTGATCCCTCTCAACTTAGAGCGGACTGAGAAATTGCCCATGGGCTCCATTAAAAATGTGGTCAGTGAACCTATCGAAGGACACGAAGACTACCACATGATGGTAAGTAGCGCTGGCCTTTGTCTCGCTGGGTCCCCGCTTCTGCCTCCTCTCCCCGGGCGTGGGGTTCTGACTGGGCGGACCGGGGCTTCAGGAGAAAGCCCTGTCTTAGGACTGGTGTTGCCTGACCCACCGCCCTGTTCCTGCTCTGTATTTTTACAGCACCCCTTCCCTTGCCCACACTCCTTCCAGCAATTACAAGGGGTGCACTTTGTCCTGGCTTTTGGAACTCTCTCTTACCTCCCTCTTATTTGTAATACTTTGTTTCTAGACCAGGAAAATAAATACAAAGAGGTCCAGCGACTTGGCTTTCCATGTAGCATTTTGTCTGGTGTATCGAAACAGAACCTCCCCTGGCCTTGGCATCTGGGAGGACACCAGCGTCCCTCCTGGAATGGCCCAGGCTGTCCTGTCACATGGCAAGGCCCATGTGGGGAGGACTGGGTCCCTGGAGCACATGTCCTGGGTAGGGTCTTCCTGACAGAGCAGGCTCCTTCCTCGAGGCGGGTGGAGGCGTTCTGCCCGTCTGTGCCAAGCAGAGCGGTCCTCCGGGCAGCCAAGGCAGCACCCGCGTCCCCAGCCCTGTCCCCAGTGAAGGCTAGTTACGTCAACTCCCATGTGGCTATGTGGACCACGTGACCTGGGCGGTGCGGGCATGAGCCTGGGGCCGCTGCCCTCCCTCCAACAGGCGGCTTCCTCCGTGTGCACCCGAGTGAGGGAGGGCACCGCGTGAGCCCCGTCCCAGGGAGAAGGAGCAGCCAGTGGTTTGGCCTGTGGGTTCGTCCACAGAGGGATGTGTGGAAGATCCCCTTGCTATAGGGATATGGGTCGGAGGAGCTTGGGACGTGATAGGTTAGACAGCAGGGTCCCTGTCCTGCCCTGTTGCTGTCTGGCCCAATTCACAGCCTGGCGGTGCTGAGGCAAGGAGGAGGTGGGCCTTCCGGTCATGGGGCTGCAGGGCTCCTGGGGTCTCCTTGTGGGGGTGGCAGTGACGCCACCAGGGCGTCTTCCCGGCCCTCTGGAGGTCCTTCCACCTGTAGCCTCTCTGTTGTCCTTGTAACAAGGATGACAGGCAGGTTTGCTTCTGCCTGCTCGCTGACCTGACTCGTTAGTTGCTTTCCGGTTCCGGTTCCGCAGTTGGAGTTTAATATTTGTAGCTGGGCCCCTTCGCTCCGTGTTGCCAGTTTGGCCGGGTAAGGTCTGCAGCCCTGGTTGGTTTTGGAGCTGCGTGGTCGGAGTGGAGTGAAGCACTTGGGCCATCTTGTGGGGAGTCTCTGTGGATGGGGAACTGCTCGCTGCTGGGTTCAGAGGCTCCATTCTCCCCGGGCTCACTTCTGGCAGAGGGCGGTTCTAGTGTCCCCCTGCTCGCCTGTGCGCCCCGTTAAGCAGCACCCACACCGTTGTCCATTGAAAGCCCTCGCTTCCCTCTCTGTGCAGTACCATTGCTGAGCTAGCTCACAATTACAAAAGCGTGGCTGTGTGTCCTCCTTTTAGAAGACCATTTTCAAAACTTCCAAAAAGAATAGAGAGTGCCCCAACAAACCCATCTCCATCCATCCCTGAGAAATGCCCACCGTGGAAATATTTTGTAACTTTTGAAAAAATACCCTTGACCAACGGTGGTGATGTCCTCGTTGTCTGTCTCTCCCTCACCCCTGTCACTGCCACGTGTGCCCGCCCATCTCCCTGAGCCTTGGTCTACATGTGTGTCCATGGGCAAGGCTGAGCGCTGTTTTGTGTTTCCAGTTTTCTAATGGTGTCAGGCTGTGTGTCATTATGCCACTTGGTTTTGTTCGTGCTCCAGATTGTGACATGTCCGTGTTCACCGCAGGTGCATATGGTTCCAGTCCACATGTGTGTTTTTTAACATGCCTGTGTTCATACAGACAGGCACTTTAATCGTGCACCCCCCCCTGCTGATGGCTCTGTCGGTTGCTGTGTTGAGCATTGAGGCCTGTCTCCTTGGGCGTGGGTGCCAGCTTCTAGGGGGCAGCAGTTCTCAGAACCAACCACTGTGTCACCTGGGCGCCTGCCCCACCCCCGACCTCCCTCAGCAGAAATCCCACAGCATGGGCCCAGCCAGTCTGTTTCAATAGAGGCAAACCTTCCAGACAACTCTGACGCTTCCTCGTCTTGAGAATCCCTGCTTGGGTCTGGCTGTGCTGAACAAACACCCCCCCCCCCGCCCCCCGCCCTCTGTTGTTGTTGATGCGGTAGGAGAATGCTCCCCGGGTGCAGTTTGGTTTTCCATCCCTTTTGGAGGATGGGACGTCCCTTCCCAGCCCGCCCCCGTGTATTTGCTCCACCTGCTTGGTCTCCAGCCTCTGAAGTACTGCTTGGTTTTCCTTTTTCCCTTCCAGGCGTTTCAGTTGGGCCCCACAGAAGCCTCTTACTACTGGGTGTACTGGGTTCCAACTCAATATGTGGATGCAATCAAAGACACTGTGCTGGGCAAATGGCAGTATTTTTGAAAGCACTTTCACCTCTGGCCCAGCAGACTGACCCACAGGGAAGGACACTGCCGGGAGAGGCCTGCAGCATCCCTGGATTTCAGAGTTGTGGAACTTTGTTCAAGACAAAAGTCTCTGTTCAGTCTAAGGTGATGTGGTGACTGAAGCCAGAGGTGATGTACTTTCGCCATAGCGTCATTTTAACTTAAAATCACCGTTCCCTTTCTTGCAGTCAGCCTCATGCCATTTTTAAAGTCAATACGGTGGAAATCAATAAATCTGAATTCCGAACGTGTTGTGTGGAATACTCTTAAGTGTGTTTGAGAGTAGATCTGCCAATTCTGTTGAGAAGGGAATGAGTCAGTGCTTTGTTTTTTGTTTTTTTTTTTTTTAAGTGATTTCAATGATTTTCATAAATCTTTGGTTGCAAAATTTGGACTGCGTTGTGATAAGTGGGGGTGGGGTTTTTTTTTCCCTGTTATAAAATTGTATGCAAAATGAGGGGTTTAGTAAGCCATATTTTGCTGTCCATTGATTCTGATTTCATTCTTTGCCCTGCTTCATTTTCTCACTTCCTAGATCTCGAGTTTTTTGTGTTAAAAAACCCAAAGACGCCAGTTCCTCTTTTGGTACCTCATCAGCACTTCCTTTCCAGAGCTGCCCGTGCCCGAGCTGCTGCTGCTGCTGTGTGGGTGCGCGCGGTGGGAGAGGGGCGCCCCACGCCCGCCGCGATGCTGGCGGGGCAGCAGGGAGTCTCACTCCTGGCTAAACATCTGCCCTCCCGGGCCCGGTCTCTGGGGCGCTCCACTGCTGCTTCTGTGGCCGCCCGCAGTCCTCACGGAGCTTGGCCTGGAGCCCTGCCTGGCGCGGCGGTGCCTGAGCCCCAGCCCCCAGCACGCGGAGGCCTCTTCGAGGAGGAGCCAGGTAGCCACAGGTCCAGATTCTTCTTCTTTGGGAAGTTTTTGAGGAATTCTAAGCAGTCCGATGATGAATTCAATCATGTGTTTCCATTTGGTCCTCGCGCTCATGCGTTCAGTTCAAGTGTCCTTTATCCCAGGATCAGAGCCGCTGCCTTTCTCGGAAGAAGACCCAGGGTGGCGGCAGGTGTCGTCTGAACACCGGAACTGGGATAAGTGGCTCTCACGATCAGCTCGCCCTCCTTCAGTGGCCGCTGGCACTCTTGGCGCCCGGGGGCCGCGGCCGTCCCCTCTGGGCCTGACTGCCTGCCGTCAGGGACAGTCTCTTGGTGAATGGTGCCCGCTGTGCTGTGTGCTGCTGTCTTTGCAATTCTCCTCTCACTGGTCGCAGGCTCGCGTAGTAAGTTTCCACGAGAAGTTCTCCAAGCTTCCCGCTTCCGATTCCCCGCCGTCCCGCGTCATTCTGTGAAACGTATTAGCATGTGTTCGCCTCCGCTGTCTGTCCCTTGTGAGCCAGTGACTGATGATCTTTGCTTTTCCCTCCTAAGCTGTAGCTCGGGCATCCAGCCCACATAGGCAGACTCTGGCTTCCCGTGGCGTAGTCAATGCCAACTTGTGCGTCTGGGCAGGAAAAATCTACTCTTGTATTTTTGGGGGCATAGGTAACGTAGGTGAAGCGTAGTGTAGCATCCAAGAAACCGCCTGTCTTTCATCCCTTGAGCGCTCATTGCAGCTTTTCTGCCCTCTGTGGCCTCCCCGTGCTGTGGCCAGACTTTCACAGCGAGCAGAGCGCGCCCTCGGTCGGAGTTCTGCCCTGTGTGTTGCCAACACCCCCCCGTCTGTGAGGCGTGCCCCGCCAGTGGCGCACACGTGCACTGTTGTCTCTCAGAGCGCGTGTTCGGGCCTCCGCTCTGGCCCCGCGGCCCCTCCCACCAGCTCCCCATGCTCGCCCTGGCTTGTGGCCCCGGGGCCTCGCCCCCACGCCGCCATGTGACATCCTTGCCGGCCCTGCCCGCGTTCCATCCTGCCCCTGCTGCCCGTGGGCGGAACTGCTTCTCACGCAGGCTGGTGTCGTTTCGAGAGGACCAAAGCCTGTGCGAGCCTTCGCATCTTCAGTACAATGGTGCTTTTTTCCTTACTCGGAGATACTGTCTATCAATAAATAATAACGTAAGTGACACCTTCTAGGAGCTGCGTGCCTGTTGCTCTGCGGAGCTCCTCACGTCTGCTCCGGCCGTCTGGAGCCCCGGCTCCTGACCCTGTCTCCTTGGAAGATCTTGCTGGGAGCTCCCGGGGGAGCAGAGGTGGGCGGCACCAGGAGCCCCTGGGAAGGGTCTTTCAGCTCCGTGTGGGTCTCGGCAGGGTTCACTCGCTCGTCCCTCAGTCCGGTGAGCGGTCTCTTTCTGTACTCGTGTTTCTCACAGTCTGCAGTAGACCGAGTGCGCCTGTGTGAGCAGCTGAAACCCTTCTCCCCGTAGGTAGCAAGCAGCCCGGCGTCTGTTTGTCTCCTCAGGATCCTGTCTGCGTGGTCCCCTGTCTGGCAGAGGGACTGTGTCTTTCTCTGTCACCGTGGCAGGGGCCACGCAGGCGGACAGAGGGCAGGACAGGGCGGGGCACTTGCATGATTCGAGGGCAGCGAGCAGGAGGGGGCTGCTCTGCCTTCTGGAGCTTGTCCCTGTGCTCCTCGCCAGCCCTCTGCTCCCAGACGTCCCGCGGAGGCGACCTTGCAGCCGCTGCCGGGTCAGAACGCGCGAGGTGGCCGCGGGAGTCGCTGGAGCTCTTTGGGATTGAGCGTGTTCATCCATGACGGGCCTTCTGCAAGTAGCATTAGCTCTTCCTAAGTGAGGTTGAACTGAGCAAAGGATGCACTTTCTGCTGATCTCGTGCACATAGTAGGCGCCCAAGCGAGGCCCTCAGTAGGCTCCTTAGTTGCTGCTTTACCTTTCAAGGGCCAAAGAGATTACCTTTGCCATGTCGCGGAGAGGTTGCCATACTTCACCCCCAGGGGCTCGTTCTCCTCCTCTGAGTCTTACTTTAACCACGTGCCTGGAGGAGCCGTTGTGGGCTCTTGCGCTTGGCCCAGCCTTTCTTCGCCAGGGGTTAGAGAAGGGAATGGGGAGAGACTCGGCGTGCCAAGGGCTGTGCAGGGGCAGCCTTGCTTCCCGCCCTCTGCCGAGGGAGGCCTCTTTCTCTCACTCCCTGCCTCTGCCGTGCCCCTTGTCCTGGAGGAGGGCGGCCCCTTGGTCTGGAGGCTTTGTGCTGACGTCCCCGCCGCTGCGGACGGCGCCTGTTTCCTTCTGCGTTGGGCCCAGGAGCCTTTGCAGAGTCGCAGGTGATCGGGAGCCCTCTGATGTGCTAGATGGACCTGCCAGCCCGGGTGGTTCTACTGCTTTCTGAGTTTCTAAGAACCTCTCTGTGTCTTTCTTACAAACTTCTGCAGAGTTATTTGACTGTATGTGTAAGTACCATGTTTCCTTGTGGTGTATGCTCTGTTCTGGTTTCTGTTTGGGAGGAGAGGAACGTATTTAGTCTTAGATTTTGCGCTGCTGGATTTTTTTTTTTTTAAAGTGTAACCTTGACTAGCTGTCTTATTGTTTATCCTGTAAGATTAGTCTATCAATTAAAGTTTGATAAATAATCGCGTCTCCTTTTCCTTCCAGTTCTTCGTGCGCCGAATTTAGCCACACTGGGGGATTAACCAGCATTCAGAACTGGGCCCAAAGCCATGTTCTTTGCCAATGCTGGCATTACTTATTCAGCTTTAAGTATATCCAGATTCCCTCTCCACTAAAGACTGTGGATACGGGGATGTGATTGGATTTATTCTGGAGTCGTCCATGTCCCCGGCTTCCCAGCCAGCCGCCCCCAATCAGGGCAGCCCTCCTCGGGCTGGGAGGCCGCATGCCTCATGAAGGTTCTCCCGCCATGGAGCCTTCGAAGACATGTTTAATAAAACAGAACAAGTGTGATGGCTCCACCCACAAGCAGCAAAGCTCAGGAGGCGGGAAGGAGAGAGTCTGTTATCAGAGTGTGGGACGAGACCCGGGAACGTGGACTTGGACATTTCCTGCACCCCGTAGACATTTACTTCCCCTTCTCCATGAACTTGAAGTCCCTGCTCTTTTTTTTTTTTTTTAATGACCTTTCAGTTTTTCTATTAGTTGTGGCTTTTCTTTCTCCAACCTTAAAGTATATAAGATTTATTTATTTGAAAGGCAGAGTTACAGAGGGAGATCCTCATTCTGCTGGCTCACTCCCCAAATGGCCTCAATGGCTGGAGCTGCACCAATCCAAAGCCATGAGCCAGGGCCTTCTTATGGGTCTTCCATGTAGGTTCAGGGCCCAAGGACTTGGGCCATCTTCCACTGCTTTCCCAGGCCATAGCAGAGAGCCAGATCGGAAGTAGAGCAACCGGGACTTGAACCGCAGCCCATATAGGATGCCGGTGCTGCAGGCAGTAGCTTTGCCTGCTGTGCCACAGCGCCAGCCTCTCCCATGAGTGTTTTTATTTATTTGGGAGGTAGAGGGAGTTCCCATATACTGGCTCCCTCTGCAAATGCCTGCAACTGCAGGACCAGAGCCAGGAGCCAGGAACTCAACCACGTCTTCACCCATAGGCGGCAGGAACCCAGTTCCTAGAGCCAACACCACTACCTCCCAGGGTCTGCACTAGCAGGAGGTGCAGTGGGGAACCAAAGGCAGGCATGTGGGCGTCTTAACCGGCATCTCAGCAGGCGGGCCACATACCTTCCCAGCCCCGCGTATTTTTGATTTTTTCACTCTTCTGCCCTTTTGTGCGTCCTGTTGCTCGTGGCTGGGAGGAGTGGTCATGGGGGAAGCATATCAGGGAGCTGGTCCCCAGAGGGCAGTGTCCCCACGAGTGCTTACCACTCCAGCTCCCCCTCCACATCTAAGTCACCCTCCTAGAGACTCCAGGGTCCAGTCCATGACTCGGCACTGTC